AGTCTAGAGTCTAAGGTGCACCTAATCTAGGCTATGGTCTTGGCAATTACTTGTTATGCATCAGAGAGATGGACAATGACTAAGGATGACAGAAGAAGAATAAATGCCTTTGAGTTGTGGTGCTGAAGAAGAGTCTTGAACATACCACAGACTGCCAAGAAAACAAACGGGTCTCTCTTGGAAAGGGTGAAACCAAGTGCCTCCTTGGAGGCTAGAATTTTGAAGCTCTATCTCACATACTTTGGGCATGTGGCCAGGAGGGGCCAGTCCTTGGAGAAGCACATCACCCTTGGAAGGGTGGAGGGAGAGCGCAAGAGAGGAAGACCTCAGATGAAGTGGATTGATACTGGGGCAGTGGGGGGTGGTGAGTCAGAATCAGTGAGATTGGCTCAGGACAGAGCAGGCTGCAGAGCTGTTATACATAGATAGGGTCACTATGAGCCACAGTTGACTTAACAGGACACAACAACAACATGGATGTAATGGATGGGAATAATTCCCCTTTATGAAGCAGGTAGAAATCAGACTCTGCATTCCCCATGCTATATCTGCTTCTTTCGCAGCTGTCTTTCAGATTTGCTGGCAGAGACTGGTCAGCATTTTCAAGTTTCCCTATGTTTCCTGAAGCACTTCAATTGGTATTTCATCAATTCTTAAGGCCTTACCTTTGCCAATGACTTCTGAGTACAGCTTGGAATTCTTCCTTCAAAACTACTAGTTCTTGCTTATATGCTACTTTCTGAAATGGTTCAGTGTGGCCTAATTCTTTTTGGTACAGTGACGCTGTGTATTTCTTCCATCTTTTTCTTTTAATATATATGTATATATATTCTTCCTGCAGCTTTCAAGATTGTACCCACAGAATCCTTCAGAGTGCACCTTGAGACTTGACTTTGTTCTTCAGTTTTCTTACCTTAAGAAACCCCCACAAGATAAAGGTGAATAATCCAATTGGAAAATGGGCACAGAATATGAACAGACACTTCACCAAGGAAGACATTCAGATGGCCAACAAGCACATGAAGAAATGTTC